GTTCCAGCCAGTATAGCTCGGTTGCTTCATCACGATAGGCAAGCCCGACCACCACGTCAAGGTAGCAACAACGGTCGGGATCAGGCTTGGTAATTTTCAAAATTCGAAAATGCTTATGTAGTTAGTTGCATACCCAAAGCAGCATGAGGAAGGGATTTCTATTCAGTCACTATCCTTTGTTTATATGAACTGTGGTTCATAAAAAAATATTGAAATAACATAGATTACAAAGTTTAAGTTCTGAATATACTGTCTAGACTAATTTTAACTGTTGGTAATTTTGGTTGACAAAATAGAGTAAATGTTAGTCAGGTCTTTTTAAAAAATCAGCTCTAAATTTAAGTTTATCAGGATGCTTAATTTAATAATCTAGACACAATGGTTATTCTGACATTCTATGTAATGGTTGTCTCATAAAATACCTGTCTAAAACAATAGCAATCCATATATAGATTAGTATTTCATAGTTTGTGCATTTAATAAATACTGTCTATTTTACAAGTAGTGTTCTATTGATGCGAATTATGTAATGGCTTTTTATTTCATTAAATAGTCCTTTTTCAAATTAGCCTGACTTTTCAGCTGGTTGTTACTCCATTCAGTCGTACTTATAACCAGTGTTTTGTAAGTAATTATATCAACGGACTAACAGTAGCTTTTTGTAGTAATCCAATGGTGAGTTTATGAAGTGGATGAATCAGTGATACGTGAACCTGGACTCGGATGTATGAATCAAGTACTCACTCCTTAACAGATTTTGTAACGCACACTTAATTTTCGACGCACGACAGTAGTTGTATTCCTTAACTTTAAGACGACATTTGACTGTTGACCATGAGGCTCTATGGCAGTCTCATTTAAAGGTGTGCCTAAGAAGTACGATAACCTTGTACAGGCTCTCTATTTGAACATTACTGGTCGAATCATAGTTTATGGTGGACTTTCATAGGAATTGATTACTTCAAGTGATACTCGTCAAAGTTGTCCGCTTTTCCCATTTTTATCTTACTTTGTCATAGACGTACTTTCAGAGATAATACCGTCATCTTTGACTTTTTAGGGATTGGTCCCGTACCAGACCACCCATTTCTTGACTTAGAATACGTAAATGATGTGGTTCTGTTTAGTTAAGAAGCTGAAAAAAACTCCGTCTTCCGATCGCTCTAAGTAATAATGTAAGCATGTTTGTGATGCGGCCCTCTTCCTCCAAACGCAAAATGTCGCTTCGGGATTTGCTTGTGACATTCCCTTATTTAATGGCAGGGAGTGAAGCAGTTAGATGCATCAACCGCTTCTTCTATCTCATCAGTCCTGATGGTCTAGTGTCTGACGAAACCCTGCCACGGATTCAGAAGACCCTATCTGCTTTTGCCAAATTCAATCAATTGTGGCGTAGGGGAGATATCCGTCTTCCAACCGAAAGACGAGTTTACTGCTCAGCAGTCAGCTGTGTTCTACTTTATCAGCGTGAAACATGGCCATTAAAGATATAAAGCATTCTCGAGTTACTGGTATTCTATTATAGTTGTCTTTGAAGCACTATTCATGTATTTTGGGACCACCGAGTAACCAGTCTCTGGGTTGGGAATAGGGTTCTAGGTAAAGATGGCAAATCGATCGATTATGTGGTAGATTTTCATCAACTGAGGTAGTTGGGACATGTGTTACATATGTCCACCCATCTCCTACCTCGACTGTCGATATTGTCTTGTGTAGGAGTAGGCTGGAAGTTAATGGTGGCCAAATCAAAACATGGCACCAGTCCATGAAGTCGCTGACAACTAGACTAAGCCATCTTAATAAATGTGGACTACCGAATTGGGGTCCGTGTGATTATCATAACCAATGTTTAAAGACTGAATGATATGGCTCAAAATCGTTGGTAATGTCGCAAGTGCGTCCATTCTCTTTCCTCAAGTTCTAAGCTTCTGAATTCCACAATTTTTATTTCACTAATTGTGTTTCCTTAGATCATATCTTTCATGTCTGATCTTTCCCGTTGCCACTGATACTATTACTACCTCCATTATTCTGGGATTTGGTCTGAAAATTTCATCTCAGTGCTAATTGGGGTATGGCAACTTGAACCAATGTACATACGTACCGGATTCTACGTTGTAAATGACGTAAAATATTGGTTTTCTACTACTCGCCACTTGTGTATCTTAGTATTGGATTGTCTAATAATTGGTTGGTGTGGTCGTGAGTCTTCATCGATTGGGGTAATTAGGACATTTTTTAGCCACCATGTACCTCGACGGGCGATGTTTCCTAATATATACTAGGTTAGATGACAAAGTACTGTAGTTGCTAGGACACGGGTACTAGGTAAGAGTGGCAAATCAATTGATGAAGTAGTGAAACTTCAGTTGAGATGGCTGGGACACGTATTACGTATGCCCAACCACCGACTGCCCCAACGTGCGATGTTTTATGGTGTAGGAATAGTTTAGAAGAAAGCTAGGGGCGGCCAGACCAAAACATGGCACAAATCCATGAAGTCACTGACAAGTGGACTGAGTTATGTTGGTAGGTGTAGACTACCCTGTTGGGATCCGCGAGATGATAGCAACCGATGGTTAAAGACCTTAAACGATATAGCTCAAAATCGTTTGCAATGGCGCAGGTGCGTCCACTCTGTTGTTTGTAGGCTATACATTCCAACACTAGGTTATGGGCTTCGTTCCTGCTTCAAGGTTTAGGTTGTCGGTACTTATAATACATCTCATATAATAATCATGGTCTGTATGCAAGTATACAAACCTGTTTATCTCCTCCCATATTGTCTATATATATATATATATATATATATATATATATATATATATATTCATTCTTATCATTTAAGTGCCAAATCTTGCCTTACCAGATATTCCCAGACATAATATGTCGTGAATTTAAGTTATCAGTGCTTCAGAAGTTACTTCCCATAACTTTACTACTCATAAGTAAGTGAAACGTTTTATTTAAAAACTTGATGCCAATTATGCCGTGAATATTTCATGTGATAAAATTATTTAAAACACAATATTTTTCTTACTTATTTACTTTTAGGATACTGTCCAGGAAATAATCTTGAAATTGTCTGAAGGCAGACTAATAATTACACGTGTAGCGTCAGTTCTTCTTTGCCTCCATGCCTCCAAAGATGTGGGTTTGGGAATGTTACGAGCTAAGATGAATGCTCTAGTACAAAATTTACAAGAGCCATTGAGTATTATTGCAGCTTCCTAAAATCTTTCAATTAGTTTGCACATTATTATGTTTTTTTTTCAGACTTTTGTAAATATACACCTATTTTCACTAGATGTTAATGTTTTTCTTTGTTTTTCTGTCTTATGGTTTAATTTTGTGATGCTGTTTTCTATACTATTTGTTCATCCTAGATCCCTTTGTTGATAGTCTACATTTTAATTAGATATGTTATAAAGTTGAATTAATATGCTATATAAAAATGTCTAATCGACTACCTATATGTTAATGTGATAAACTATATAAGAAACATGTTTTTGAGTTTAGTTGTGCTAACTTCTTCCTTAAAATTGGGCATTTAGAGCCGGGGTACACTTTTCTGACTCAGTAATTGTACTTCAAATACGAAAACCAATGAACTTCAGTTCCAAATGGGACCTAATAGGTTTTCAGAAACCTGAATCGATTAATAATAAGGGCGTATTAAATTTTATTTAGTTTTTAGTAGCTTGAATTGCCCTGTTGTTAATATTTAGGCTGAAGTGTGATCAGTTGTTGGTATATGTTCTTCTTGACGAGTTGCAAGTATAACGGAACGCGTGTTCTAGATTTCACTGCTAACCATTTTCCATTGACTCTATATACATTCCTCAACTAATTATATAACCATGTTCATTTCCAAAATCCTTCTACAATATTTGAAGTCGACCTAAGATTATCATTAATACTAACCCATACCTGACTATTATCTAGTTTGTCGCTGTCTGTAACTTCGTCATGAGTTTTCCAGTCAGACTCGTAACTAAATATCGAGATGTACAATTCTAAACATTAGCTTATTTTATATGAACGTAACTTAGCCCTCGTTCTTAAAAAAGTAATCGCTATTGTAAACATATATTCTAACAAACCGTCCAATACTTCAGAAACATTTTAGCAGATGAATCAAAACTCATATCTGTAACTGCATAGCCGTAATCTTAGTCTTACACACTATTGAGTTAAAATTTTACACATTTTTTTTTATAAATGTCATTTGTCCATTACTCACCGTTCCAAATATGTCTTATAGTGATAATGATTTTGTACATACTCATTACAATTACAATACAACCTAGTTTTACTTGAGTTTAATTGTTTACTTATAAATATGTTACATATTTTTACTAGATTTCTCTCATAAAGTTTATCTGTTCTTAATCGATATCATTGTTTATATTTACTCAAAAATTCAGTAAATTAACATTACTTTAAGCACTAATTGAATGAACATTGAATTGTAATAATTTAATAAAGTTATTTTTGTCGTTAGTTTAAGTAAATAAACAACTAAAATCTTTTGAAAATAAAATAGCTAGTTTCTGTCGTAATTATGTTTTTAAAAAGTGAACACAATGTTATCTTCCACGTCCATCTGTACATATAAGTGTTAATAACTCAGTTAAGAGAAAAGAGAATTTCAACCCGTATTAAATGATGTAAGACTTATTTTTTTTAGACATTTAACTTTGAAATGGCGTTATTTTGATTATTACTATTTCTCCTCCTCCACTTATTAACAACTGAGATAATCTCACCTCTGCAATATCGTATTAGTATAGAATACCGATTGGTATTTTGTAGTTCGTTCTATGTATTTGTTGATTGTATGTAATTTGAGTATAATGCTGCAACTCTAATATAAATTATTATTTTTAATTATATAGACCTTTGTAATCCAACCAGATTAAGAAGACTATTGATACCCAGTTATTTTCTGCATAATTTACGTAGACACAGTTAAAATACTTGGCTTTTATTATTGTAAAATGATTCCTATCATATCAACTGATCATGAATCATCTGCTGAAGCTATAGATGGTGGGAAATATAATTATCACGGGACATACGTTAATGAAGAATCATCCGTTCAAGACTCAACAGATAACTTAACAACTTCTAAAGTATCCGAAATCACAGAACAAACACAATCTAATTCATTTCAGAATAACGATAATAACATACATATATCTGAAGTATCGTGCTCTACTACATCATCAAATTTGGATAATGTTACTTCCAATGAGACTAAGGTTGGAAATCATTCATTAATAACTAGTGATAATAATTTACTACCTCAGTTAACTTTACATTCCTTGGCATATCGTTCCCCTGCTCCATTTTGGTACGAACCATTAGCTATGGCGGCAAACCATGCATGCGATTATACAATTAAAATTACTTTAGAAATGGCTAAATCTGGTAAAGGTAGAGTCATATTTTGCTTAATTTTCTTTATCTAAATATACGTAATTTCTGTTTAAATTCATACAAACACATTCACCCTTCTATATGCTTCTGATAAATATTGCATCTTTTTCAATTTTAATTATTTTACACATTGACCTAGTCGACTTATGAATTCAACGATTAAAACCACTACAATCTCCACAAACCCCTATTCTAATAACAATCATGTGCTCACTAGTGACTGACTTCAAGATGGGTTTCCTAGAGTTCTAGTGAGGACCCGTGACCAGTGGAGTACAATCCGTGTCGTGTAGAGACAGGTATTTACCTCAGACAAAAGATGAATGGTTATACAAGACCATGGATCGATTGAGGTTAGACATTAACGCCGTTGTATTCCGGCTCAGTGGTCTAGAGGTTAAGCGTTCGCGTGCGAGACCAAAGGTCTTTGGTCAGAGTCCTGCACGCGGGATCGTAGTTCCATACTAGGAGAAAACGGCCGTGTAGAGCTTCCAAACTTTTAACGGTGGTCTAGCTTACATCGAATCACGATACAATGGTAGGAAAACCCAGTAGTAACTGAAATTCAGCAATTTAAGCGTCTACACCATTAATGCAAACTATCTGTTGTTGTCGTCGTCATTAAAATGGATAATTTAGTAACAATTAACAGAAAAACTATACACAGTGCTAATAAATCCAAAATGCTTTTTGGTTATTTTTATTGCGGTAATAATATGAACTTCAAATAAAATACTTCTCTGATATCCAAAATATATTAATCTAAACGAATAACCTGAGATACAGAAATATAACAAATAAGGGACTGAACAGAATCTGTTCCTTAACTTATGCTTTCAAATATTTTTTATAATTAACCAACTGTTCTACATTCTATGTTAAATTTGCAACTCTGTTAAGGCTTCATCGCCTCGATATGTAGTGTTGACGTAGGTAAAATTAGGTTGAAAGAGGGAAATATAGTCACCCCCTAGAAATGTCATCAGCGTATAAAGCTACCGGTTGATATTTCGTAAATGTAAATTTTCTTTCCACAGTCATCGAAAGGTAAAAATTGATGAATTACTATATCCGTTGTTACATATACGCAACTTCTAACTACGATATAGCAGCACATGCTCTGTCGTTCTTTATCTATTTCGAAACTTAAACATACTTGGGGCTTATGTATATTTATCTTTTGTTTACTAAATTTTTGTTCATTTTCACATACTTTCGCTCCTTCGTTGGGTTTTTACTCTGCTAATTAATCAATGTAGTGCATAAATGTTGACAAAACCATCTTTATTTATGTAATCCTGTTTTAGTTAACATCTTTGTAGTAAACCTATGTTGGTAAATGCTGTTTAGAAACACGTTGAACGAGATGACTTATTACCATTAGTTCGTTATGACTTACGATGCGATCCACGCTTCAGCTCACAGATTTCGTATTGCTTTTGTTTACATGTACGCCTACTAATTATGGTATCTCTGGCAAGTATTTGGTAGAAGTATTCCATGAATTAAATTGACAGTATTCATTTTAGCTCATTTACGAGGTGCAGATAAGTGTACTTGGCTTCGAACCATACTGTAAAGGCTAGTGATACTACGTGAATGCTGAAAGCCAAAATATGTGAAGCAGGCTTCGAGCCTGGAAATCAATAACTAAACGTTAAATGCCTTAACTACTGAGCCAGTCAGTCATGCGCAACGTGGAGCTTGACATATGTACATCATTTCAAATTGCCACACCATATCAGTACAGCAAGATACGATATTGGAGTAGTAGAGGTCGCAAAAGTTTATTGGTAGTAGAGAAGATTGGATATTGAAAATATTATTGCGAAAGAAAATGTGAGGCCGTGGAAAAAAATATAAAATAATTCAAAAGCGTAGGACTAAAGCGAAGACAAAAAACCTCCATGTTAAAATTAATGGTAATTTATATTGTGCAGTTAACTATATATCCATATGCATAAACCTTGTCGTTACTCCTCCGAAAAACCTCAACTAAAACTCATACATTTTTTACTGTCTTGTTGTTTTAGCTCCTAGACCAGTCCGTGTGTATGCTGATGGAGCATATGATATGTTTCATTCTGGCCATGCTCGTCAGTTGATGCAAGCGAAGTGTGCCTTCCCTGACACTTACCTTATTGTTGGTGGTAAGTTTGATTTTATTATTGGTAGTAAAACATCTTAAGAGATAATTTTAAAGTGACAATGATAAATCTCTTTAAACTTTGTTAGCATTTAATCATGATTTCATTTAGTTATATCAATAAAAGAAGGTTTAATTTTGACAGTAAACTGTTCTCTTCAGTCCACCCGTTAGGTATTGCTTGAAGTTTAGGCATGAAGTGACATGTAAGACTACCAAGTTACGTTTTGTAACTTATTTTCTGATAGACAAATGATACCATTTAATTTTTTCAATAAATATTTGTACTGATTGATTCTTACTTTGATTCATTTGCTGCAATTTTATCCCAGTCTCTAACGATGCAGATGTTCACCATTATAAGGGTCGTACAGTCATGAATGAGAAAGAGCGTTATGAAGCTATACGACATTGTCGTTATGTGGATGAAGTTATAAATGATGCTCCTTGGTCTATTACTGATGAATTTTTGCAGAAACACAAGGTAATTAGTCCAATGATATTAATTGTAATATCTTTGTTATTGTTTTTGGAATCCTTTTACTACGTATCTCATCTTGTGCTGATTTGGTGTGACAACTTGGAAAAAGACATATTCATGTCCAGGCTCTACGTTGTTTATGCTCAACCGAATGAATTTTAATATCCAATCATTTTGCTACTTCTGTGGATTTATGATTAACGGCACTCAACTTAAAACCAATACGTCACATGTTCGTAATTCAATTCATCTACTTCCATTTGGGGAGCTGCATGGTATTTACTGGATATCATAAATAATGTGACTCATAGCCGAGCACATAAATCTGTAGTTGATAAAGGAGTTACATAATCACGAGTGTAGTAGTTTGTATTTTTGTCGATTTAATTTGTTAAGTGATTTTTGCTTAATTATTCTCATGTGCTTATCACTTAATACTCGACACCTAAAATCATCATTACTCACTTAGTTTCATCATATGCGAGTAAATAATAGTAACCTGCGAATGTTTTCTACTTTATATATATATATATATATATATATATATATATATATATATATATATATATATATTAGAACAAGATGGATTTTTATGTAGTGTATTCGCCCTTCAATAAGTGAATGAACAACTTACCTGTGCACAAACAAAAATGTCATACGAATACCACTGAGGTTTAACCATTATTTATCCTGCGTTTCTTTAGTTTCTTGAATGACTTTAATACGTTCTGCATATGTGTGGTACCAAGGGCTTTGTACTGAAACCTTGATAAAAGAGATTTTATTTATTTATTTTAAGACATAGATATTGGTACAAGGAGGCACCAAATAAATATGCGTCACACAGATCTCATTTGATATGTGTGAGGGCTGTGATACTGCCCGGGTGCCCAAACCGAAGCAGGTGGTTTTCTTAGGGGGTCACACCCGAAGCCTTCGACTTGAAGGTCTGATCCACAAGGCAGTGGAGCATCGTAATGAGATGTAGTCCCTTGGTAGCCTGTGACCAACGATTGGTTAATACGCCATTTGTTCCTTCAGGAGAATGGGGCCCATGTGCACTATTGATTTGGAATCGGGTTTTTCCAGCTCCCCTAGGTGGGCTTTATGTCCACCAACCCGGTTAAAGCGCTGGACATTTGCAAAAATGTGGTCAGTTTATACCTAACATTATTCAATCGAGAATGGTTCTCTTGGATTACCATTTGTTGATATATGGGTAAATTCTCTGAGGTTATGCATCAGATTACATCAACGATTCAAATCATCAGCATAGTTTGTCGTGGTTTTTCTAATATGCTACATTCGATTCTCAAGTAACAATTAAAATGTTACTAAGTAAAGTCTTTATTAATATTTCTAATTTCTATTTATCATTGTTATAGTTTTGTTACTTTTTATGTCTGATCATTATGTCATTTCTTTTTGTATGGTTGACATCTTCATGTATAAGCTTATCAGTCTTATTAATTTGTCATACACAACATTTAAAAGAAATATCTTCATTGTTAATTTGATTTGTATGTTAACTTTTCAATTTCTCACAGATTGATTTTGTTGCACATGATGACATTCCATACGCATCACCTGATAGTGAAGATGTGTACAAACCACTGAAAGATGCTGGCATGTAAGTTTTTATCTCTTAAATAAAATCAGTTTGGTTCTTTGAATCATTTTATCCTACACAGAAAAATATTCCATTGTATTATCTAATTAAATGTAGTATCAATTAAATAATTTTTAAATTAAGTAACTTTCTATCATTTATGTAATTGTTACCTGAAAGTTTACCATTTAATGAAATCTTCAATGAAAATAATGCCTTTATTGATGTGCAAATAAATTATCCATTTTCAATCACGGGTAAAAAGGTTTTGATTCAATCATGATTTTCTGGAAAAATCTATTTATTGTCTTACTTAATCTTGATTTCTCAGTTTCATTACAATAACAATGAATATATGTAATCGTTGTAAGCGTAGTTACCTCACTTATCAATAGGTTCGTACAAATTTATCCCTTTATAGATTGGGATAAAATACAAACAGTATTTAAAATAAATTAATGTTAAGTGATTGAAATAGTCGATTGTAAACTCTGAACCTAGTTTTCGTGTTATCTAGCACCCTTGGAGAAGGTGTATCTATAATGTAGCCGCAATCTGAACAGTTTAATAGTGACGTCTCGGATTGTGTAATTGGGTGACATATTCATATCACACAAGTGGAATCCATTCTCTCAAGGTACGTCTTGTCAAATATGAATCCATCAGATATCTTGAATATATCTCCATTAATTTTGACCTGAATAGGATTGATTGAAGTTTAAAGTATGGGATACAACCCAATATAATGATCTAGATGTAACTTTTTCAGGTGAAGTTTCGTTTTCTGGGCTAGATGGTTTAGTTGTGGAGCTTTCATTGTTATCTTGACTCAATACCCAAGTAAGTAACGTGGTGGCGGTTGAAGCGACAGGTACTGGATTCATGTCCGAGAGTTAACATCGACTGTTGGATGCAAGTAAATCCAGCTAACGAGTCGCAAATAGGATAAAACGCGCGTCCTGAACTTCACTGTTAGCTAACACCCTATTCTAACCGTTATTTTGTTTTAAATCTGCACTTTAAAACTGCCCCTGTCTTAATCATTTTCTTGTTTTAGAGTTTTATTTTATTAGCTCAATTATTTTCATATTTACTCATACGTCTACAATGTCCTTCTGTTTTATTATTATCAAGTTGTTTCTACTCAGATTTCCTGTTTAACATTCACACATACTGTATGTTTCACTCTAACAATAGTCATAGTTACTATGCTCATCCTATTAATCATAAATTTCTCATGTTTTATAAATTTCCTTCAGTGGCTATTTGAAATAGTTATTTGAAATTATGCGGTTGAGTTCCACACAACTATAAATCAAATGTCAACAAAAATCACTTGTTGATCTGTTATATATATTAGGAAGTGATGAAAATTCGACTGATGAAGCTGTGAATCTTCGGTGGCTGAGACGTGTGTGACACATACTCGCAATGACCCACTATGTATTGCTGAAATAAGAAAAGGTTGGGTGAAATTAGTGCTTACTAAACCAAAATATGAGGTCAGTCTGTGGAATTATTGACTGTTGAATTAAGCCTTGTTGGTAGGTGCACAAGAAAAAGAGAAACTAGATTGAAAGTGAACTTGACTACTTGGGAGCTTGACCACATAGTCGGTGAGCAACTCATTGAGGCGCATGCTACCTTTTCGAAGCATATTTCCAATTTTTAGTCTTTCTCAATATCACTGCTACTACAATTATTCTGACCCTTTTAATATGTATTTTGTTAATTTCATCTATCTGTTCTGATTTGGTATGACGATTAGGTCTAACTCACATTTGTACCAGACTATATTTTAGATAGAATTAATGATTGGCTAGGGCGTGTGTTACATTAATCAAGTTAGTCTCCCTAAAACTGACTGCTTTTTTTATCCCTTTTGTTTTCTGTTTCCTTTTTTATACTTATAAAAAACTTTAACTATTCAAGAACTTGAAAAAAGTACAAAGATGAGTTTTTTATGAAAATTTTTTTCAAAATCCTATTATATTCGTTTCAATAGATTTTAAGCTGTAATTTACCACAAGTTTGTTTTTAAAAGTTCATATATATATATATATATATATATATATATATATATATATATATATCCACCCAATGACATTTAATTTGCCAAAAATGTATCTAGTCTTCATTCATCTAGTATGTCAAAAAATCCATTACATAATTAAATAGAAGTTTATTAATAGAAGCTTTTGTCTTCCAAACTTTAGGTTAGTAATTCAAGTCTTTCTCGGTTTGGTTAACAAAAAGGTATCATTGATGTTCACATAAAATATTATAAATCAAAGTCGAGTACGCAAACTGAGTTGTACTAAATTATTAAAATTATTTATATAAGTGTACGCATAAGTTCAAGCTGCCACATCACATCAAGAGTGCGATAGAATTTCCAATATAAATGTCAGAATGGTAGAAGTAGTAACGATATCGGCAGTAGTACAAAACGTTAAGTGTTGTCTACATACTTTAAGAAAAAAGACTGAATTACTAGTAAATATTTTTGAAATCTACCACCACCAATTCAGAGCTTATGTCTACCAATATGTTTAACCATTGGTTACGATATTCCCTCAGATCCCAAGTACGTTGTCTTCACTTCCTAATAAGACTAATTTACCTCAGTGAACTAAATAATATGACCAACAATGGTATCTGTTATAATCTCTCTTTTCTTACGGTTATGACCCAGCTATTCCTATTGCTTAGTATTCTCGGACACCGATTCACTCGACAAGTCCCCAAATCAAAACACGGTTGAACAGGAAGGAGATTATATTCCAAATAACAAGGTTAGATGGAAGCAAGAAGCAAGTCAGAAGCACAATAGAGAAAACGTCAGTATATTTATAGTTTTTACATGAGAAGATTCTAGAGTATTCTCCAACTATCGACTAGTGCTGATTGGATAAGAATTAGCCAATCAGCGTGCACCAAAGCAATCATGCATTGAGCATGCTTTAATCTAGTCTATATCCCGCTAACAGTATCAAATTGCTGAAACTGAATTAACCGTAATTAAATTTGAACCACTGATTTAATGATTAAAAGCCAACTTAACCCATCAAATTATTCAGTCACACTAGTAGTTATACTTTAATGTAATGATTCTTTGTTGTGTGCTTACTAGACATTCATATTCAAGCAATTGTTTTATAATTTACTATTCTGTAGGGTCTTTAAAAAAAATTTAATACATTTGTTTAATAGTTAACCTTTCTCCTAATTATCAGTGTTGAAGATACTCAAACAATATCGTCCTGCTTAAAAAAATTTCGTTATTTGCATTCCTCAGATTCTCCATGTCATATGAAATTAATTAATGATCTAATTACTATCTTTGTGTTGATAACTTATTCACTTAGATTATCCAAGTTAATGAATCTTATTGTATTATTTTATAACAACTGTTGTATCTCATTCCAACAATGTTTTCTCATTTATTTTATAATTCTTCTGATCACTGAAGTTAATGTAATTCACTAATTAAAAATGTATTCAAAAACACTCAGATATTAACTATCTTTTTTTGTCTATAAAGATTTTTTGAACAGTTTAATCCCCTATAATTGAAATGTTACTAGTCTATTCAATATTTTCTATTATTATTTCATTTACATAGCACTTACGTGTTATAGTGTAGTGAATTCATGTTAAAAGTCTTTCTCAGAAAATTCTCATTTCTATCATTTTATTAAGGTTTCTTGTAACTCAACGTACAGAAGGAATTTCTACTACTGATGTAATCGGACGTATTGTACGTGATTATGATGTTTATTTAAGAAGAAATATACGACGTGGTTTGTCCAGAAAAGATTTAAACATTAGTTATATGAAAGTGAGTTCGTTCTTCATTCTCAAATTCTATTTTATTAGTAGTATGTGCATACATTCTATTCAATTTTTAATTCCTATTATACCAGGTATCATTTTAACAATCTTATTTTATTTTCCCAGTAAAATGAAGTGTTTATGTAATATGTTAAACTTTTCCTGATATTTTATCTTACTATACCGATGTTAAAATTCTCTGGGGAAAATTGGATACTGATGAGTGGTGTTACATCATTAACTAAATTTATCAAAGAAATGTATTATTTATTGAAGTCATTTTGTTCCCTGTTACACTGATACCTGCTATTGAACTAGCAAAATCATACGACTCAGCCACAGTGTATATATTGAGTTGATTTCTAACTGGACGTAGAATTTCAGCTAGCCATTTAGCGATAACATGAAATAACGAGTTATTCATATCTAATATAGGACACAAAGGGCTATCTATCTTCATTTTAGGGAGGTCATATAATTATGGAATAACAGGACAAGTTGGTCTAGTTTTCCATTAATTCAGTTCGTGAATGCTGTATATAAGACCATAATTTTCACTGATTATTTCATTTCAAGCTCTAAATTTCACCCTGTTAGATTTTTTCATCTAACAAGTTGGAATGCTCTGCAGTGGCGTGTTCCTAGAAGATATAGATGACTGAAGTTAAATGTCCAGTGAGAATCACGCTCTTATATGCAATACCCATTCACTAAACTAGTGGAGAAATGTTCGGAAATATTATTGCACTTCTATTGAACAACGAAAACGAGCGGTTATTCCCTCAGAAAAATACAAGAATCACGTTTAAATTACAATAATGTCGGAGTAGAAGAAAATGAGTCAGTAATTTATAAATTAATCAAAAGTTTATGATTTACGAGATAAAGCAGGCACATAACGAAATATTGGCAATTTACAGATTAGACGTCCGGCAAGACAATATTCCAAAGAATTGGAAATCCACCGTGGTTATCCCATACCGTAGTGAAACATCGGAAGAAATCAAGAGAATTCCAAGCAAGTATGATATAAGCGTGTATTTTCGGGCTTGTGACACTATAAGATCGGCATTAATGAAAGTTAAGGATAAGTTCTCAAAGGAAGGACAAGAAAATATTGTCTGTAAGATCAACTTTCATTATTATACTGCAGCTTATGTGGGAGAAATGTCCAGGAAGGAACACAAACAGTGCTTGAAAAGTGTTCCCAAATCCTTGGTTGACCTAAGGAAACTTTTTTCAATCTTCAACTTTCACATTTATTTTTTCCTTCATACCAAAACATATTAACACCTAATATCAACTGTTAGTGACTCAATATTACACCTACATACACACACAGAGTTCGTTCAGTCATTTATTTTCACACGATTTGCATTTAACTAACTCATGTTATCCTATTTACTGGAGTAAACATCCAAATATGATTGGATTAACACAGTATAGACTTGATTAATAAACGCTACATATTTCTTTGATGATTATGATTTTGATTATTACCCTGAAGAAGTCCAGACAAGTTTCCTGGACGAAACGTCGGAATTATTTTGAATTTCAATCGCTGAGATTCTTTCAAATATAATTTTCACATACAATGACTTCTCTATACTCGATGCCCAATTTTCGTCAGACTATTTTTTCTAATATTGACGAATAATGGTATAAATCCCAAAAAATAGCTTTCGTGGTTTCTCATTCTCTCCATTCTCTTCACATCGAAAAAGACAATCATTGGCATTTACAATTTATAGATAGGATCTTGATGAACACAATTTCTATGAATGTCATCACTTTGAGATCGTAGAAAAACTTTGTAGCTCAGATAAATGAACGCGACAAATTTCCACTCTCTGACCTGGTTAGTATAATTCCGACGCTTTCCTTGCCCTAGTAGACAACATTATCAACTCAAATTCCAAGTAAAAGTTAGATATTCGAATTTCTCCACATCTGGTTAACGTTTTTTAGCGAATTAGTTTTCTACGGGATGGGGTCGCTAACCCCATGCCCAACCCTCCTCCTTTATTCGGAATTGCGACCGGCAGTAGTCCCCTGGGGGGCACCAGGCGGAGTCCCCCACATATGACAGACAGTTTATTCTCTCAATCATAATTTTGGTTGGTTGCTGTTGACACTTTTCCTGTCATTTTCTGCACATTAATTTTGATTGTCACCTGATTTCTGACCTTAAATTTTTTCCATGATTTTCCTAATTAGTTAATAAATAGGGTTGATTTTGATATGTTTACTGATTTTTGAGTGACTTTGAGTGTAAACCCTATAAATATCGTCCAATCTTCGTAATGTTCTATATGTCCGATATTTCAACATTTTCCACATTGAACATATGTCCATAATCGTTTTTCTACACTGATATGAGCTAAAATACGTCTTGATTTTTGACAGCTAGTTAGTTTTCATACGACGATGGTATCCACTTTGTCCGATATGAAGTTCTCAGTTGAGGCAGTTTATCTTATAGATGATGTTTGACTTTTCTCCTTTTTGTGTCCATAGGAATAAGTGAAGTGATTTGGCTAGCTTATGTTCTACGCCTATTTCAAACGGTCTCAGTAATCTTATGATTCCCAATAGATGCTTCATATATTACACAATAATCTATTTGTTGTTTCTGCTGCTTACTTTTATCAAATCAGCCATTATCAATGTTTTCATATATTGGAGTAACTCATTTACCAAGTATTTACAAATACAGATATGCGTACTTGGCGTCCGGCCATAATTTATGTATAAGGGCTAGTACTACTACCCGGTTGTCCAAGCTGAAGTGGATAGAGTAGAATTCCGCCGAAATTATGACATAAAATACTTAGATAAATAAGATTGATTTATCTAAGAACAACTTATCATTCCTATGATTATTGTATCTCATACAAAATGATTATTGCGAAAGATTGCTCCATGTTGGCTGTATGTCCGGTCTGAATTAAATGGGCTAAAATGGAGCTGTTAACCGTTTTAACTACACCTTTCCTTAACCACACTGGGAGATGCTCACGAGCCCGAATATACAACTTACTAGAGAATCTGCCAATATAACTTGCCCCACAGGAGCAGTTAAAATAATAAAGAAAGAAGTGGCTGGTCTAGGCAATTTATCTTTCAACCTCGGAGTGATCATTTGACGTGTAGAAAACAGTAATTGTAGTTTACCTGCATTAAAAGTTCTTTGGATTGATCTGCTTAACTTCAGTCTTAGCATTTCACTGGGTTCATCGCCTCTGAATTGTAAGCGTATATACAGAGGCTTTTTATTCACGGTTAGGCATTCTCTATGCTCTCTCTTATTGGCTATGTTTTTATTTATAAATTTCTCAGGGTATCCATTTTTTTTCAGGGTCGTGTATAATGCCTTTGTTTCATTTTCGACCGTATCTAGAGAGCATATGGTCTTGATTCTATGGTGCAGTGTCTTGATCAGGTTCCTTTTGTATTACAGAGGAACAAAACTAAGAAAGTTTGTATATTGGCCCGTCCAAGTAGTTTTCTTGTTTATGTTTCTTCTTAATGTCTTGTCTTTTCTCGTTGTAAGTAGAACATCTAGAAAGGCTATTCTACTCCCATTTTATTTCTCACATGTAAATTTTATGGACGGGTGAACTGTATGGATTCGCTCTAGTGTTTCTATCAAGTCCGTATGGTCGTTACAAAGGATAAACGTATCGTCCATATATCGGCAGTAAAATGAAAAATTGTCGATCTATTGTGCCAGTGGGCCGTTTTCTAGTTTAGCATAATATGTCTCTTAGCGGATTGGCCGAAATATAATGTTGATTTAACAAATGCTTATATCTATAAATATCCGTGATTTTCTGTACATTTTGATTCGTACCAAGTAAACACTTCTCCAGCTTTTCTTATGTCTTCTGATTTGCAACGGCGAAGTTCTAACGTTCGATTGTCGTAGTCGTAAATCGTATTCTGCGTTAATCAAGTAGCGAACTTAACAGTTAGTTCAATCTCTATCTCATGATTGACGTCTCTTTGGTTATTCCGTTTCCGAAATTTTTGGTGATCATTCAAGATGTTATTCAACTTGCCAATATAGTCTTTTTTGTTAAGTAGGATAGCTCTGGTTCCTTTTTTCAGGTTTTGTGATAATCAGATTCTCGTCATTAATGAGTTCATTGATAGCCTCCTTGTGTTTTTTAGTTAAAATACTTCTGTAGTTATGTCTACTATCCTTAAACTGATTGCTGCAGTCAACTAGGTTTGATTTGAAATTTATTTTCAACCGGATGGTTTTGTAGACTTTCGGGAAGCTGGATATGTTTTTTGTCTGATCTTTCCTTAGTTATCTTGTGACGTAATCTTTAGACTGGGACTTCAGATCCGTTAATTCATCAACTGCAAATTTTCTGCGTGCAATATTTACTTCTATTTCTGTCAAGTCATTATATAATGTGTCAATTTTATTAAAGTGCATAGTGTTTTAATGTTTTTCTGTTTGGTTGAACGTTATTACGGCGTAATGACTTATGGAACATTTTCGGATAATGACACGATTCAATACAGTTCTTTATAAATTCCAATAATGTTTTCGTTTCTGTGAACTTTGCGTTATACTTCAGGAACACATTGAATGTCTTCGATGCAATTGGTTAATCATACAATTTTAATCGCTGATAGGTACCCATTTACCTAGGTTTTACGGACTACCGAAGGTACATAAACCGAATATCCCATTGAGGCCAATTTTGGACATGTACGATTCCCCTTATCATACTATAGCAAATTGATCATTAACTGTTTTAAAACCACTCCACAAACACCTAATGAAGCATAGTATTAAGGATGTATTCCAATTCGTTGACAAGATTAAAAACATAAACACGAAAGGTCAAACGATGATGTCCTTTAACGTAACGTCATTGTTCACAAATGTCCCACTCAGAGAAACTGTAGAATATATTTGTGAACAACCTAGAGAACAAGAATTAGAAATTACAATCCTTGTGGAGATCATCAAAGAATTACTACTCAAAA